GGGACTCAGGTCGCTGTCTCCCTGCTGCCTTGTCCTCCCCTGCTTACCATGAAACCTGTGAGAATGATGCCCAGGACTCCAACATTCTTCAGTTGGAACTGACGCTGACCTACCCAGCTTGGGATGGTTGCAAAACTGACGGTCTAGTGAGTGAGTGGTCAGGACAATAAATACACTCCCAGAAAAGAAAATTATTTCCTGTCGATTCCACTCACAAAACAAGTGTCCAAAATCCTAAATGCAAAGATGAGGAGGTGGGGGAAGGCTCTGAAACTTAAAGCAGAGGAAAATAACTTTCTGAGCTTAAAGTAGAAAAGAAGTAAAACGGCACAAATGGTAAAGAAAATAATAAATCATTTTGTTAAAGTAAAAATCTTCTATATGACAAGAAGAAAACTCGATCCGTTGACGTCATGTCTGGGGAAAGATATTTACAACCTAGAAAACCAACCGAGAGAAAATCAGTTTCAAAAAAATTTTTAGACAAAAATCCATTTGCCAAAAAATTCTAAAGCAGTAGAAAATTGGGCAAAAGATGAACAAATAACAAGAAAAAATGAAAATGGCCAATTGAGAAAAAGATTCTCAGCATCACTAGTGACTATGGAAATGCAAATTAAACCCCGCCCCCTCCCGTGACTCCAGTCTGGTGGGCGAAGGGTCTGCAAAGGGAGCTTGGCTGCCGGTGAGGGGAGAGGGGCAAGGGGCGGTCATGTTTGGAAAGTGCTGGTGAGAAGGCAGCTGGTGCATCCACTTGGAGAGTAATCTGGAGCCCCGTGGTCAATCTAAAGATGAGCAAATCTAAGACCCAGCAGCTCCAGCATAACGTGTGCTGAGACGGGGCTCTTGGGCAGGTGACTTATTGAGGGAGACCTCTCCCTGAAACGGAGAAGATGAGGTAGCAGGGTGGAAGGAAACGCTAGCCTGTAAACTCTCAGTCGGGGATTAGCTGAGGTCAGGTCCCATGAGGAGCTCGGAGCATTAACAACATCGCTGAGTTGATCCGCCTGAGGCCAAGAGGACAGTCTTTTGTACCCCTGCATCAGTCATTGACAACAGGGCACCCTGGGAAAAGGGGGTTGCCTAACTTCTTGGGCGAGGAGGTCCCCTAGAAGGGAGCAGCTTCGAGCATTTGTAGCCAGGACTCACAGTGGCTGCAGAACAGAGACACACCTCACCCTTTTTGCAGCCCATAGAAACTCATATCCAGATGCAAAAGGATACATGTCCAAAGATATTCATTGCACTCTAGTACGTATTAGAAAAGAAAAAAAAAAAAAGGAGCCGCCTAACTCCCTCTCAGCAGGGGAAATGGAGCATAAGCTGCTTTACAAGTACAATGAAAGTACCACATGAAAATGAGCGACCCAGATCAACACATATCAGTGTGGATTTATCTTCCGTACAGGGTATGAAAAATAATGGCAACAGAACATGTACAGTCGTGACCACCTATGTAAAATTTTAAAATGTATTTAACAATAGAATTGTATAACTAGATGCTGACCTATGAAAACATGCCTGGGACAGAGAAACAAATACCAGCTTCAGCTCAGGTATCCTGGGGAAGAGGGACATGGAGTTGTATTTTCTTTTTTAAAAAAGAGAGCGAATGGGACACATGTGGGGACCTGTTCGCGCCCATTGAGTCCGCGGCACTTATGCGAAGGTGCTGGTATTTTCTGCTTTTTCTGTGTTGAAATGTTCTATGATTAGAAATAAAAATGTGTGCAGATGGAAGGGAGGGGTTCTGAGGGCTTCCCTGGGAAGAAGATTCCAGGAACCAGACTTTCTGGGAAATGTGGGTGGCTTTGGTGGCGCTGTCCAGGGTGCTGGACAGCAGCGCAGCAAGGGAAGGGGAGATCCCAGAACCCCTGAACTGTAAGCCAGACCTAAGCAACTTACCTCCAGCCTCCCCCCTTGCCGCCCCTCCCCCAATTGCTGCTACTGCACCCCCCCCCGACATCTTCAGGAGACTCCCTGGTCTCCCTGCTTCTCTCCCTTGCAATCTATACAACTCTATACAAGTAACAAGAGAGTTTTTTTAAATAATATGATAATTTATTTTTCCATCATTTTGTGCATTTTTCCATCTCAGTTGCAATCCCCTTGGGCTTCCCATCACCAAATCACCCGTGTGCCATCACCATAGTCCAGTGCACTTCCCTCCCCCCACTGTTTTTGATCCCGTTCCCCACCCCAAGCCCATAAAATGTCTCTACAATCAGATACTTTTTTATAAAAATATAAATTATTGACACACCATGCCACTTCCCTAATTTCAGCCTTCCAAAGGTTTCCCATCACCTTTATAATGACTCCCAAGTCCCTCACCTGACCTATAAAATCCTGCATGTTCTGTTTCCACTGGCCTCCCGGTCTCCCTCCAACCATCCTCCCCACCACCCATAACCTCACTTATTTCTTGAACATTCCAGACCTTGGTATAAGCTCTGTGCTCTGCCTTGGCTATGCTTTCGTGCCTGGAGAAGGTTCACCTTGAGTGTGACCACCTGGGAGAGGTTCCCATCAAGGTCACTTTTTACCAGTGTGGCCATGTTGGTGGTTCTTGCCACTAGTTGATGTCACTTCATTATTTATTCATTCATTTTGCACTCCGATTATTCAGCATGCTTTTTAAGAAACAGACACCTTATCTAATTTACTCAGTTCTTCACTCTTAGCATAGAACACAGAGATGGTCCTCACTTACAGCAATAGATGTTTGTTGAGTGAATGTAAATTTACTGACCAGCTCTTCTGTGATAAGCCCTGTGCTGAGCTCTGTGAATCCTGTACTAAATAAGATAATTCCCATCCTCAAGATTGTCACAGGCTGGAAAGAAAAGTCAAATCACAAAATCATAGCATGTTGGGACAATTTTCCTTTGCTTTTATTTTATAGTCAGAGGACTTGAAGGAAATCATAGTTTTCATTCTCCACCCCCCTCTTTGTTTCTTAAATAAAGAAATCCAGCCGAATTAGAGAGGGAAGAGGACTCGCCCAAGATCACCCACCGCTCAGTGTTGGCATTATCCAACCTCGTGGTTCTTGGGTGCTTTTCAATACTGTCTGCAGGAAGAAAACTGCCTCCCCAGAGCT